TACACGAAGACCAGCTTCACTATCATTATATGTGGTAATATTATAAGAATTTGTAGGTTGATAATTTAGAAGAACTATATAAAAAAGTATTAAAAATGCTATTGAACCAAAATTTTTTCCAGCCATTTTTATTTATAAATGGAAAAATCACTAGTGAAAGTTATAATTATTTTAAAGGGAAGGCAAAGGGCATAGGAAAATTTTATCCATAATATTATAACGCGAGTATTTATAATAAATAAAAATAGAATCACTTAATATTGTTTAGTTTGGTAAATAGTTCTGAAACAGGATCGACTTTTGTAATTGGTAAATGCATAATAGTCGCGGACATTGCAGATCAAGTGTCATTCAATATAAACGTTACACGAATAAAATTATTATCGTCCACTTCAAAAAAAAAACTACATTTTTCATGTAGCAAGCGATTTTCAACCATAATAAAATTTTTAGAGCCAGACTGGGACTTTTAACAACAGTTAAAAGAAAAGCCTAGCTTAAATATTGGTTATTCTATGCCATGTCGGAAGTGTTTCTTTTCTTCACACTTATTTTAAGATTATCGCTCATTCATAGACGGATCGTCAATTAACAACCTTAACAACATATTTAGTTTAATTATAAATCAACAATTTACAACTAAAAATAATCACAAGAATAATATAATAATAAAAATCAACAATCAATCTTATGACCTTGTCCCCCAAGATAAGAAAAATTAAATCAACAAATAATTAAAAGAAGAATTCACGCCAATAAGAAAAAAAAAAGAATTAAAGAAAAGATCTATATCAGAAAGGAGAAATTAAGATTATGTCACGAAGAAATGTATAAATACTGGAAGAAAACCGGAAGAAGAGAAAAGATAAGGAGAATATTGACAATAATCTGGAAGATAATCAGTTCAATAATTCACATGATCCTAATATATTACATTTTAGTAAATAATGAATTTATAACAAAAGAAATAATAGATACAATAATTAGATTGAATATAGTAGGAGGAATAGAAGCAATTTCAGAATTTGTCGGAAGAATTTGTTTGGGAATATATAGTAATAGTAGAAGAAGTAGTGTTCCATGTTGCAATCCAAAAAAGGAAACCAAAGTGGTCGCAAAGGTGGTTGCAACCAGGTGCCGCAAACCATTTTTATATGTCGCAAATATGGTTGCAACCATCACCAAGAATTGCGACCAGCATCTATAAGAAGAAGTAATAATACATAAATTAACAGGAAGAGAAATTGAAAATTAATAATCAAGAAAAAAATATTTATTTATATAAAGGAAGAAAGTTTACAAGGAAGGAACCTCACTTAGTTAAGAGTTTTAACTATATGAAAATAAATAATCAAATAATTGAAAAGAAATTTATCAAGTTGAATACAAAGAAAATTAAAACAAAGAACCAAAAATTATCAAAAGAAAATAAAGAATAAAAACATTCAACAGAATTATTGAAGAAGCCAATAAAGCAAACGGAAGAACTGCCACAAGAAAATAAGAAATTAACAGGAGAGGATAATTTATCGAAAGTATATGAATCAAGAAACTTATAAAAATTTCCCATTAGAATTGAAAGTAATCATAAGAAATTATATAGAAGAAATAGCCAGGAGACAAATAGACCCGAGAACAAAAATTTAGCAGACAAAATAATCAAAGAAAAAAATAATAAGATGTGTTTATTATTCAAGTCATTTATGGCTAGGCGCGAAACCTTAGTGGAGTAATTTAATAAAGTTGATATCTTTCTTTATTCTCCTTAAAATTACCTTTCTTTAAAGATTCAATTTCCTTGGTGTGTGCTAGTGTCTATATTAAGTTCAGATATACAAATTCGGAAATGTATAAATACTGGAAGAAAACCGGAAGAAGAGAAAAGATAAGGAGAATATTGACAATAATCTGGAAGATAATCAGTTCAATAATTCACATGATCCTAATATATTACATTTTAGTAAATAATGAATTTATAACAAAAGAAATAATAGATACAATAATTAGATTGAATATAGTAGGAGGAATAGAAGCAATTTCAGAATTTGTCGGAAGAATTTGTTTGGGAATATATAGTAATAGTAGAAGAAGTAGTGTTCCATGTTGCAATCCAAAAAAGGAAACCAAAGTGGTCGCAAAGGTGGTTGCAACCAGGTGCCGCAAACCATTTTTATATGTCGCAAATATGGTTGCAACCATCACCAAGAATTGCGACCAGCATCTATAAGAAGAAGTAATAATACATAAATTAACAGGAAGAGAAATTGAAAATTAATAATCAAGAAAAAAATATTTATTTATATAAAGGAAGAAAGTTTACAAGGAAGGAACCTCACTTAGTTAAGAGTTTTAACTATATGAAAATAAATAATCAAATAATTGAAAAGAAATTTATCAAGTTGAATACAAAGAAAATTAAAACAAAGAACCAAAAATTATCAAAAGAAAATAAAGAATAAAAACATTCAACAGAATTATTGAAGAAGCCAATAAAGCAAACGGAAGAACTGCCACAAGAAAATAAGAAATTAACAGGAGAGGATAATTTATCGAAAGTATATGAATCAAGAAACTTATAAAAATTTCCCATTAGAATTGAAAGTAATCATAAGAAATTATATAGAAGAAATAGCCAGGAGACAAATAGACCCGAGAACAAAAATTTAGCAGACAAAATAATCAAAGAAAAAAATAATAAGATCAGCAGTAAGGGTATAACGAAAGAGAAGATTGGAAAGAGATTGTAACAGTTCTTTTTCGTCTTAATTGCGAATATGTAATGTGGCACAGTAATACGAAACGTTACAACTTATTATTATATTAGTCACAGGCATGTCACACCAATTGATTTTCTATATGTGAAAATAAACTCGAAATTCGTGTCACATGAAGTTTTTTTAAAATATCTCGTTATTTCAGTCAGGGATATTTCCATAGATGGAAATACTAAATACCGTAATGATCGACTGACTGTATGAAAAATTCTAGAAGAAATTCTGATTGGCTAAATTCAACCAGGGATAATACCCTGTAATGATCGACGTAATGAAAAGAAATTCTAATTGGCTAAATTCTGTCGTTGAATAAAAAATAATGATCTTTATTATATTTAGGAAAAGAAAAACATGGCGGGAGCTTTATTAATTGGTCATATAATTTCCAAATTATATAATATGTGCATTTTTAACTTTTCTACAAGCTTACCCAAGATCAAGCAATGTCAAAGATGCTATTTAACTAATATATAGCATATTATTATATTAATAATGATTTTTATTCCATTATTAAATAATTTACTAAGTTGCCATTCATCAGAACAAAATACTTCATTTTAAAATTTAAATAATACCATATAAATTTCCTTGCCAATTCTATTAAATAATAAATAAAGGATACATACAAAATCCATATAGTAAAAATAAATAATGATTAATATATTGAAATCAATAGCACCATTGTAAATAATACAAAATAATTTATTTGGAGTTTTATGCTTACATTTCCATACCAAACTACTTTAGTGCTCCATGCTGCAATCCAACAAAGTTGTTGCAAAGGCATATTGAAATCAATAGCCACCATTGTAAATAATACAAAATAATTATTTGGAGTTTTATGCTTACATTTCCATACCGAACTACTTTAGTGCTCCATGCTGCAATTAGTGTTCCATGTCGCAATCCAAAAAAGGAAACAAAATGGTTGTAAAGGTGGTTGCAACCAGTGGTTGCAATTGTTTTTATATGACGCAAAG